TATTGGAGATGTCATTTACAAATATCTTCTCCCATTTGGTTGGTTGCCCTTTTATTTTGTTGATTGTTTCTTTAGCCGTGAAGAAGCTTCTAAGTTTGATGTACTTCCATTGATTTATTTTTGCTCTTACTTCTCTTGCCTTTGGGGTAAAGTTTACAGAGACCTCCCTGAGACCCGGGTCCATAAGTTTAGTGCCTATGTTTTCTTCTATTTTCCTTATTGTTTCAGGCCTTATATTCAAGTCTGCAATCCATTTTGAGTTAATTTTTGTGTATGGTGTTAGATTGCAGTCTAATTTCATTCCTTTGCATGTGGCTTTCCAGTTTTCCCAGCATCATTTATTGAAGAGGCTTCCCTTTCTCCACTGTATGTTTTGGCTTTTTTGTTGAAAATTAGTTACCCATATATGTGTGGGTTTATCTCTGAATTCTCAATTGTGTTTCATTGGTCTATGTGTCTGCTTTTTTGCCAATACCATACTGTTTTGATTACTGTAGCTCTGTAATATAGTTTGAAGGCAGAGAGTGTGATACCTCTGGCTTTGTTTCCCACCCCCTCAGTATTGCTTTGGCAATTTGGGGACTTTTGTGGTTCCATACAAATTTGAGGATTTTGTTTTTGTTCTATTTCTGTGAGAAATGCTGTTGGGATTTTGATAGGGATTGCATGAAATCTATATATTGCTTTAAGTAATATGGCTATTTAACAGTGTTAATTCTTCTAATCCATGAACATGGAATATCTTTCTACTTCTTTATGTCTTTTTCAGTTTCTTTCAACGTCTTGTAGTTTTCAGTGTACAGGTCCTTCACCTCTTTTGTTAAGTTTATTCTTAGGTAATTTATTCTTTTTGTTGGGATTATAAATGGGATTATTTTCTTCATTTCTCTTGCTGATATTTTATTGTTATAAGAATGCAACAGATTTTTGTGTATTGATTTTGTATCCTGAAACTTTACTGTTTTGTTTATTTTTTCTAATAGTTGTTTAGGTCAAGTCTTTAGGGTTTTCTATATATAGAATCATGTCTCTGCACACAGTGCAACAGTTTTACTTCTTTGTTCCCAGTTTGTATTCCTTTGATTTCTTTTTCTTGCCTGATTGCTCTGGCAGGGACTTACAGGACTATGTTGAATAACAGTGGTGAGAGTGGGCATCCTTGTCTTGTTCTTGACCTTAGAGGAAAAGCTTTCAGTTTTTCACCACTGAGTATACTAGCTGAGGGCTTGTCATATATGGCCTTTATTATGTTGAGGTACTTTCCTTCTATACCTGTTTTATTGAGTGTTTTAATCATAAATGGATGTTATAGCTTGTCAAATGCTCTTTTTTGCTTCTGTTGCTATGGTCCAATGATTTTTATCTTTTATTTTGTTAATGTGGTGTATCACCTTGTTTGCTTTATGTAAACTGTCTTTGCATTCCCACTTGATCATGATGTATTATTCTATTAATGTATTGTTATATTCAATTTGGTAGTATTTTGTTTAAGATTTTTCATCTATGTTAATTAGAGATATTGGTCTGTAATTTCCTTTTTTTGCGTTGTCCTTGCCTGGTTTGGGTATCAGGGTAACGTTGGCCTTGTAAAATGAGTTAGGAAGTGTTCCCTCATCTTCCAATTTGAAGGTTTTAATATGAAAACTCTGGAAATCAAATCTTTCCCATCCCTAGAGTTTGTTTTTGTTGTTGTTTGTTGTCATTTTGTTCATTAGTGTGTCCATATTCTTTGTCTTGTTTGGCGACTGAAGTCTCTGTTTTATTGTCTTGGTGATATAGTAGTGACCGGAAAGAGACATGAACACCTGGAAAGAAAATATCTGCAATTCTTTGCCAAGGTGCTCTGGGTGCCTACTGATGGAAGCCTTCGACTCCCAGCCAGGCAGTTGAAAATTCTACCTTAGCTCTTACTTCCTGCTTGCATAGAACATCACCGTCAGCCAAGAGTGAGAGCTTAGGCCTTCTTCAGTTCTTTCCCAAGTATGAGCACAGCCCCAGGAATAATGTATGAGCTTTTTAAAGTCCCCTGGACATTTTATTCCCCAGATTTTTTCTCCAAAGCTTTTTGGTTAGTCAGTCATTTGCCTCAACAGATATGTATTGCCTTAGGCAGCAGTGATGAAAACACTGGCTTATAGATGTTTTCAATAAATTCCCCCAGGCAGCAGCTTTAGCACTGGTGAAATAAAGACAAGTTTTTTGAGTCACTTTCCAGGAAACCACCAGACAGGTCAAATAATTCATTGTGAATAAGGTCTGTTCTGTTTCCTCCAGTACCAGGAATGTGGACTGTTATTTTCGATGGCTACCACTGGACTGGGAAGTTTGGAACAGGACTAGCGTCCATACTGAGACTAAACCATTTTTCTTGTCTAAGTGCTCCCTGACTTGCTGCAAGCCTCTGATTATTTTCCAGATTTCCTAAATATTTATTCTGACCACCACCCCCTGACATTTGTTTCATAGCTTTAATGGAAGGATAGACTTTTGGAGTTTTTGCCTTCTCCGTTTTCATTGGCATCACTTTTTGTAGTGTCTTTTGATAGAGAAGGAACAAAGGAGACAAATGACTTATTTCTAGGACAGAGATAAAACCTGAAAGGAGACTGGTCTGTGGTAGGGTCATAACCACCACAATTATGTTGGGTGCCAAGCTGTTTTTGAAATACTTTGACTTAATCCTGACAGCAGTTCTATGAGGCAGAAATCACTATCCCCTCTTCATAGAGGAGAAAACTGAAGACTGAGCAGCTAAGTTACTTTTTCAAGGTTAAACAGCCAGTAGGTTGTAGAATTAGGTTTTGATCCCAGGTTTTCTGGTCCCAAAGCCTGTGCTGTAATGGTATTGTCTGAGCTACCAAGTGTCACAGGAACCTATGAGAAGTGCAGGCCCAGCTCAGCAGGATCAGAAAAGATATAGAAAGAGGCAAACACTTCTCCCACAGACATCTTTCCTAGTGCTGGATTCCCTGACAAGTGGACTGAGATGCACTTAGGGCACCAATAAAGTCATTGTATTTCCATCTTGGAAAAAACCTAGAACTGTTTTAGACTTTCTTATACTTAACCTATTATACTCTATATCTATATCTATCTATCTATCTATCTATCTATCTATCTATCTATCTATCTATCTATCTATCATCTATCTATCTATCTATC